ATACCAGACAGAAACTTGGGTCTACACAAAGAAATAAAGAGCATTGAAATTGGGATAAATGAAGGTAAAAATAAACTCTTTTTTTTTCTTACTTTTAAATGCTCTAAAGTTAAATGACACAAAAAGAGAAAAAGAGCAGCAATGTATTGTGTGTTCATGGCATATGCAAAGGTAACATGAATGACAACAATAGGACAAGGGAAATGAGGAAATGAGAATATACTGTTGCAAGGCTGTTAAATTATATGTGAAGCAGTACAAGTTACAAGAAGGTACACTGAGTAAAGATATGTAAAGTAAGCTTTAGGACAATTACTTTTAAAAATAAACAAGAGATAAATAATTATACAGATTTTTTAAATCATGAGAAATGCTGAATTTTTAAAAATATTTCCTGTCAAAAGAAGGCAGGAAAATGAGCAAAATGTTTGTGCTAGGGATCAGTGAGATACATCAGGGACGCTCTCTGAATATTCACCAATTCCCTTCTTTCCTTTCCTTTCTTACACTTCCCTCAGCCAAGCCAGACATTGCTAGTCAATCACAGCACTTGCCTCAATCGGTCTAGATACCACGTGCGGGCGCGCATGTACAGTGCGATTGAAACTTCGTGGCCCATGTGCAGAAGTCGGTACAGTATTTTGTGGAAGAGCCACACTCAAGGGGTCAAAGAGCCGCATGTGCCTCATGAGCCGCAGTTTGCCGACCACTGGTCTAGACCGACCCAAGATGCTCAGCACAGGACCCAATACACAGAAGCACTTGGTAAATTCTTATTTTTTAATATAATACTCTAGACAGCCATAGCTACACTCAGAGCTGATATGAAAGAAGGAACTCATTCATTCATTCATCCATTCAACAAATAGTTATTGAATGCGTATCACACACCACGCACTGTAGTAGACACCAAAGATACAATGGTGAGTAAAAACAAGTGTGGTCCTTACTCTCATGGAACATAAAGTCTGAGTGGGGGGGAGGGGGGACGGGGGGAGGCAGATCCTAATCAATAATGTCACCAATCAATACATAATGCAAAATGAGATAATTGCCCTACACAACAGGAATGATGTTCAATGGCTGCGGACCTGTTCTTGGAGGTAGGAAAGGCTCCTCTGAAAAAGCAACACTCTAGCTGAGAATGGAAGGAGAGTTGCCTTTAACTAAAAGGGAGTGTGGGGGAGGGGCGCAGAGGGAAGAGAGTTTCAGTCAGAGGGAACAGAATGGGCAAAGGCTCTGAGCCAAGTAGGAGTGTGGTCAATTTGAGGAATAGAGAGGTGGCTGGCTGAAGGAGAGAGGTACGTTGATAAATGAGACTGAGAGGTTGGCAGGAGCCAAACCCTGTCCGGTCTCCAAGCGCATGTTAAGAACTCTGACCTCGTCATTATCTTAAGAGCAAGAGAAGCCACTCCAGGGTGTGACAAATAAGGGAGCTGGCAAAGGCGCAGTGATATTTCCCCTGGTCCAGGCCTGATATGCTTATACTCTAGGTAGGAGCTTTCCTGCCACCAGCTTCATGGAAAAGTGCTCATTCTTGTCTACTCTGTGTCTTTCCCTCAGGATCGCACACAACGCTCAGCTACCAAGAGATCAAATACCCACATCAAAAGCTAATAAAAACTTGTTTTACTCATACTAGTTGCCTCTGAGCCACAGGCCTAGCAACCTCCCAAGAACTTCCGAAAGGTTTATGAAAAGCAAATTCCCCTCCCCCCTCTCCCCAGAGCATGAGCTCACAAATCAGACAGCAAAGCTGGACCCATCCTCTCAAAGCTGGTGGTGCAGGGCTCAAGCTCAAAACAAGATCAACCTGAGCCTGGATCCGGGCTCTGATTCATGGGAGCAGAGGTGGGTGTTGGAAGAACTGGCTCTTTGAGGGACTTGGATGAATCACACCTTCAGATGCATCTTCTGGCTGACAAAGTGAAGGTCTGAACTACAGCAGTCACGGGTTTTCCACCTGTGTTCTGGAAAGCCCAACAAATGGATGGAGGTGTCCCAGGAATTTAACTCGGAGCAGAGAGGGCTACTAAACTCCCCACATTCAACTCCATTCACCCAGAGCCAGCCACTCTGCTTGGGTATAGATATTGGGAAACTGCCCGGTATTGCATTTGGTGCTAAAAAGAACATTTTTAGACAATAAAAATAAATGTGAAAAGCCTTGAACAAAATGATCCTTGTTCAAGGAGCCTTTCAGAAGTTTCCTTCCAGTTCTATAATTTTAAATGCCTTGTTAGGAGAAACAACCTCAAAGAGACCAGAACACATAAATTCTTCAGGTTGTCGTCTCTAAACTCCAGACACTTTAGTGGTATCATTCTGATGTCCAGACCCAAAGCTGAAGTCATAACCCTTTCCTAGGTTTTAACAGAAATAATTTTGTACAAAACAAATCCCTGTGTGTAAGAGAATGGTCAAATCCAGCACTCCAGATAGGCACCCGATAAAGTTAGGAGAATACAGCTTATCTGAACCCTGGCACAGATCAAAAGGTTGGTACTCCAAGGGCACTATGATACAAGGCACAACTGTTTCACTGCCATTCACTGGAAACATTCCAATAAGAGACCATTAATACCTCTTAGACCTGTGGTCGGCAAACTGCGGCTCGCGAGCCACATGTGGCTCTTTGGCCCCTTGAGTGTGGGGCTCTTCCGAAGCCTTAGGAGTACCCTAATTAAGTTAATAACAATGTACCTACCTATATAGTTTAAGTTTAAAAAATTTGGCTCTCAAAAGAAATTTCAATTGTTGTACTGTTGAAATTTCTGTTGACTAATGAGTTTGCCAACCACTGTCCTAGACCATAAGTTTTCTCTCCAGTAGGGTGTTGGGGTACTGAGGAGGGCTAGATGGCCTTACAAATCATTCTTCTCTCAGCAGCCAGGCTGAGAGGACAACCCTCTCACTGCTGGAGCAAAGATGGTGCCCTTCCCGCCCTCATGTCTCCTGAGAAGGTTGTGGAGGATGTTAGTCAACAGAAAAACCAGGATGGAATGGAAAAATTGAAGGAAACTGTCATTTCCCCAACTGGAATTGGAGGAGTTATACCTATTACCTCAGTATACCCTCCATATCCCTTATGAGGACGCCAACGCCATCCCATTTTGAGGATGCGGTTCAGAGAGGATTCCCATCAGGGAGAAAACTCAACTTGTCCCATGAGACTGTAAAGAGCCTCGCTTTACCCAAGAGGTAATCAATAAATATTAGCCGGTAGTCAGTCTTCCATTTTTAAATGAATAAATGAATGGGTTGTTATTTAGGAATGGAAAGTACTAGAAACCCATTGTGTAGTTCAAATTGTTCTCAGTCCCCAACTAAGAAAACAGAACAGATGGGAATTGGATACTGATGGAATCTTTATCATACATAAAAACTGATGCAATCTTTATTTATTATAAGGCAGAGTGAGGCAATTATCCATCTTTGTATTTTTAAATATGAAGAAAAAATGCTCTTCTAGCAACACGGCTCCTGTCTGCAAATTGAACAGGAGCATAAGATGCCAGTCAAACAAAAGGCGATATAAATAGAAAGCATGGTGAGCTCTGCTGTAACTTGTTTTGAAAACACAAATTTATTCCGATGCAACTGATATAAGGGAACCATCTGAGCCTAACACAGATTCTGCACTGGCTTGTGCATGATTTCCGTCCATCAGAAACACTAGGTGAATGCAGAGACCCACACCCCGCCGAACTGAGCCACGCAGGGTACACACAATGTGCACACACCTCACATGTCGATCAGCTGCCCCAGTTCACCACGTGTTCTGAGCCACACCTACCCACATCTTTCCTCAACTCAGACAACCATCCTTCCTCACTACACAATCACTCAGAAGCTGCAATCCTTCTCCCACTCACTCGCACAGGCTGACTTCCGGTCACATTAATTGTAGCATGTATGCGTTCGTTCCTTAACCACTTAGCATGTGCAGAGCAGTGCTACCTACTTTTTTATTACTGTGTCACTGGTAACGTTTTTTATTTTTGTGCCCTAACCCCACTTTTCCCATAAGCCCTATGGGTTTTTTAATTGCATGATTCTGGATAGCACAGTGAATTTTAGGAACACCCAAGTCACATGATAGCAGAACTTACTGTTCTCCCACAGTTGGTTAAATTTTGAAAAAGGAAATACATAGCATTATTAATTGGTACACCCTTCTAGCAGTCAGGTGGCAATACAGGGTGGGGCAAAAGCAGGTTTACAGTTGTGAGTACGTGAAACAGTTTATTCCTGTATTATCATTGACTAATTATTGTATTATTTTCATATGAACAACTGTAAACCTACTTTTGCCCCAGTCTGTATTGACCAAGCTATGTCCATATCTTTTGACCAAGTAACCCCATTCTAGGAAACACAAGACATAATTCAACAGGAATTATAGACATAATTCAATAGGAAAAAGGAAATGAGATGAATGCATTAAGATGTTCATTGTGACATTGATGTGTGTGTGTAAAGCCACCAAACTTAAAATTTATAAATACTATGTAATTAAATAGTAAATGATATGATATATTATACACTAGGTGAAAAGGGGGGGAGTATTTAAACTGATTAATAGTATGAAAACAAAGAGAAAAAATATTTGTTTATACACACATATATAGAGTTGTGTTTTAAAAAAAATTTTTAAAGCTACGTCACCCAGAAGGGTTTTAAACATGCTAATTTCCATCTTTTTAAAAAGTCAGAAATAGTTCTTCACTGCAGATCACATACCCAGCACACTATTTCTAAATGTGAAGGAAGTAATTTGAAATTTTAGTTTCATGAATACATATTTTTGTAACAGTACAAATCTGAATTCTGAACTACAGCTGGTCATCTTCATTTGTCACTAAAACTAATTTGCAGCCCTGCTGCTTGCTGTAAATATGGAAACAATAGTCCCTTTGCAACATGCAAACACACAGGACAAAGCATACCAACAGAAAGTAAAGGTTCTATTGAACAACAGCTAAGTTGTTGCTTGCACACTGATTGTGTTAATGGTAGAAAAAGAGGTGGTAGAGTTTGATGCAAGCAAGGCCATTGCCAGGAAAGCTACTTTCTGGACAAACCAGATGGTCAACAGGAAGTGGGGCAATTTCATGTTTAGCACTGAAGGAACTGCCCAATGGATTCTGTGAAAATACATAAAGTCCACATCAGAGTCTCCAAATCTGCCCAAACTCTTATGCAGGGAACCAGACATTGACAGTGCACGTGGGGTCTCGGGTTGGGCAGACACGCCTGCCTGCACACCAGGGAGGGGATAAAGATGGGATTACTTTAATGTTTTTGAGTGTTTTTACTGTGTTTTAGTTGATTTCTAATTTCATTCCATTGTGATCTGAGAAGATACTAAATTTGATTTCAATCTTCTTGAACTTGTAGAAACTTGTTTTGTGTCCTAACATGTGGTGCATCTTTGAAAATGACACATGTGCATTTGAGAAGAATATATACTCTGAAGCTTTGGGGTGAAATGTTCTATAAATGTCAATTAAATCCATCTGATCCAGTGTGTCATTTAGAGTCAGTGTTTCCTTGTTAATATTTTGTCTAGGATTCAGTCAGTGAAGTCAGCAGTAGAAGTCCCCTACTATGACTGTATTGTTGTCAATCACTCCTTTAAAGTCCTCTAGAAGTTTTATGTATAGATTTAGGTACTCCTATATTGGGTGCATATATATTTACCAGGGTTATAGCCCCTTATTGGAGCAATCCCTTTGGTATTATGTAAGTGGCCTTTGTTGTCTATTGTGATGGCCTTCGTTTTGATGTCCATTTTGTCAAATATGAGTATTGTCACCCCAGCCTTTTCTTCGTTTCCATTTGCATGGAAAAAAATTTTCCAACCCTTTACTCTGATCCTGTGTGTCTTTTGTTCTGAGGTGGATCTCTTGTAGACAACATATAATTGGGTCATGTTTTCATACCCATTCAGCTACCCTATGTCTTTTGATTGGAGCATTTAATTCATTTACATTTAATGTTATTATTGATAGGTACTTATTTATTGCCATTTTTAATTCTTTATGCCTATGTTTCTCTATTTCTTCTTCTCATTACAACAGTCCCTTTAACATTTCTTGCAGTGCTGGTTTGTTGGTGATAAACTCCTTTATCTTTTTGTCTGGGAAGCACTTTATTTCACCATCTATTTTGAATGATAGCCTTGCTGGATATAGTAATCTTGGTTTCAGATCCTTGCTTTTCATTACCTTGAATACTTCATGCCACTCCCTCCTGGCCTATAGAGTTTCTGATAGCAAATCAGCTAACAGCCTTATTGGAGCTCCTTTGTAGGTAACAATTACTTTTCTTGCGCTTTTCTTTAAATTTTGGCATTTTAATTATGATGTGTCTGGACATGGGCCTGTTTGGGTTCTTCTTGCTTGAGACTCTCTGTGCCTCCTGAGCTTGTGTGACTTTTTCCTTTACCAGGTTAGGGAAGTCTTTGCCATTATTTCTTCAAGCACATTCTCTATCCCTCGCTTGCTTTCTGCCCCTTCTGGCACTCCTATTATGTGAATATTGTTGCATTTTATGTTGTCCTGCAACTCCCTTAAGCTGTCCTCCTGATTTTTGTTTTTTCTTTTTGGTTCTCTGATTGAGTGATTTTTTTCTATTCTGTCTTCTAATTCACTGATCCAATCCTTGGTTTCTCCTAATCTGCTGTGTTGTCCTTCCACTGTGTTCTTTATTAGCACTATGTCATTCCTCGTAGTTACTATATCTTTTCTCATGCTGTTGAGTAGCTTTGCCATCATTATTCTGAACTCTATGTCTGATAAATTTCTTCTCTCCATTTCATTTAGCTCTTCTTCTGAAGAATTCTCTTGTTCTTTCATTTGGGACTTTTTTTTATCTCCCCATTTTGGCTGCCTGTTTGGGTTTGTGTCTGTGTGTTAAGTAGATCTACTCTGACTCCCAATCTCTAGTGCAGGACAGTGTCAGACGCTGTTTGTGACTGGTCCCGAGTACCCTGTTTGGAGATATCCACAATTCACAGCTTGTGGCTCCCTCTACTTGGCTGGGTGCCTTTGGATAGGACCAAGTTGTGCACCAGGGTCTTCTTATCCTAGCCCCGGGCCCAGGATTATATCAGGCAAGACTCAAAGCCTCCAGAGACCTGCCTCTGCCTGCAATCCCACTCACCTTTAGTTTTGATCAGCCTCAGGCTATCAACCACAGAGTCGGGCGAGAGGTCTTCCAATAAGGTGGGGCAACTGCCTCTCCCCTAGGCAAAAACTGCCTGGCAAGCAAAGGTCCACCAGAAAAAGATGTCCTCTGCAGTGTGAGGAAATGACTGCGCATAGGAAACCAGAGTGACTGCCCTTGGAGCTCCAACCCTAAAGTCCCCAAACCTGGCTTCTGCTCACACAGCTCCAGTCCACTCTGCCATCCCTCAGGTGGAGCCCAAAGTAAGTGGCTACACACAAAATTTTGTGTGTTGGCCCTTTAAAAGAGGGTGCCTGCATTTCTAGCCGTCTCTCACTGGAAGACAGTAATCGTGCTGCTTTTCGCAGTCAGGTGTTATGTGGGCACCTTTCTCAGTTCTGGTGATCTGTGTTGGGGAGCCCAGCTTAGGGTTTAGACCCCAGAGTTCTCAGTAGGAACCCCTCACAACTGAGGTATCTCTCCATAACTTCAGCTGCTGTCAGTGGGAGCCCGGACAGCCCTTTTGCACCTCCACCCTTCCTACCAGTCTCCATGCGGTCTCCACTTTCTGTCCTTCCTTATCAAGGTTCTTCCCAGCTAGTCTTCAGTTGATTTTTCAGGGTGTTTTTTCTGTATTTTAGTTGTATTTCCAGTTTGGTCTTGGGAGAGTGTCAGTATTGCATCCACTTACTCCACCGCCATTTTGGAATCCTCTCAAGATGGGATTACTTTGAATGTTTAACAGAAAATCCTGTTTTTGTTGGCTTTCCCATACCAAAAAGTTCTCTCCTCCTCTGAACACCTGGGATGCAAAGTAGGAAAGAGTGTTCCAACTTTGGATCTTAACAGCCCTGGGATTTAATTCAAACTATTTTTTGTGTGACCCTCGACAAATTACTTTACCTCTCTGGGCCTCCCTTTCCCCTTCAAAAATGCAGAAATAAAAGTATCTCTCAAGTGTTTGTTCTGAGGAATCTTTTAAAAAGCAACATACCTGATCTGGAGAGGGGCTTAATAAATCCTCATTAAATCTCAAGTTTAATATTTTGAGACATTCCTACTGCCTCTACTCCCAACCTTGACTTCATCCATGCCTGATGTCTCCAGAAAGAACATAATGGCCTGGCTGACCCAGCTCAATGTGGCACCAAGGGATAGAAACTCCAACAGGATCCAAATTACCCATTATCCAACCAACACTGGATTAGGACAACCAGCTTCACCCACACCAACAGCCCAAGCTACATGTGTGAGGATGGTGAGGATGGAAGGCAAAAGGGACAGTGAATATTAAGAATTGTCACACTTAAAAAAAAGAGAAAGAATCCATACCACTGCTCATTATGATTCAACTGAATGCAGTTAAGTTTGTACCTGTTTTAAAGTAATATCCAAAAGCCCCTCAAAAATAATCACTTGATGTTGGAGAGGTTGGAGAGAAAAATGAATCCTTACTCGTTGCTGGTGGGATTTTAAATTGGTACAGCCATGCCCTAACCAGTTTGGCTCAGTGGATAGAGCATCAGCCTGCGGACTCAAGGTTCCCGGGTTCGTTTCCATTCAAGGGCGTGTACCTTGGTTGTGGGCACATCCCCAGTAGGGAGTGTGCAGGAGGCAGCTGATGGATGTTTCTCTCTCATCGATGTTTCTAACTCTCTATCCCTCTCCCTTCCTCTCTGTAAAAAATCAATAAAATATATTTTTAAAAAATTGGTACAGCAACTACAGAAAACAGTATGAAGATTCCTTAAAAAATTAAGACCATATGATCCAGTAATCCCTGTTCTGGGTATCTACCCCAAATTTTTTTTAAACAAGATATATGCACTCCTACATTCATTGTAGCATTATTCAGAGTGGCCAAGACATGAAAATAATCAAAGTGTCTTTTGTTAAATTATTGGATAAAGAAGATGAGGTACATATATACTACGAAATATTATTCACCCATAAGAAAAGATGAAATATTGCCATTTGCAACAACATGGATGGATCTTGATAATATCATGCTAAGTAAAATAAGTCAGATGAAAAAAAGTCAAGAACTGTATGATTTCACTCATATGTGGGATATAAAACTAAAAGCAACAAATGATCAAATAAGATGAACAAAAACTCATAGATACAGTAACAGTATGGTGGCTACCAGAGGGAAAGGGGAGGTATTAAAGGGTAAAGCGAGTCAAATATATGGTGACAGAAAGATATTTGACTTTAGGTGGTGGACACACAATGCAACATATAGATGATATATTATAGAATTGTATACTTGAAACCTATATAATTTTATTAAGCAATGTCACTCCAATGAATTTAATTTAAAAAAAATTTAAATCACTTTATCATGTGGAATCTGTTCCTATAACCATTGGCGTAAATTATCACTGCCTGGTGTCCTTTGTCTGCCCTTGAAATTCTCTCTGATTCATTTCTCAGCATCATAATGATGTTGGTTGCTGGCTCTGCTACATGGCAGCTAGCCCCTCGTGTCTCTCTGTTGCCTTGCCACAGCAGCAAGAAATTGAATACTCACAGATAGGATCCCCTCCCAAACAGCAGCCCAAAGGCAGCCATATCTCCTCCCTCCACTGTGTAGGGGAGCTACTGCTAAGAGGACTCAGTAGGTCCGAACAGAGTGCTTAGGAAAAAAATAATGACGTCCCCCCTACCGCCCTCCCCCCACCCCACACACCTCCTGCGTGTGTATATGTAGCTGCAAAGCAGAGCTCTGAGATGAAAGGGAAATATAGTGGCTAAAAGAAAATGCAATTGCTAAGAAACACATTTCCCTTCGTCTGATTTATGTAGTATGCATAGCTGGCTCTGTCACTTTGGTATACCCACTGGCTGTCACTAGATAACTAACACCCAGCCCAAAGGGGCACTGCCCTCCTTAGTAGCAAATGAGTGTTTCTGCTGAAACCTAACAGAAAAGGACAAGAGGAGGAGGCCACCGGATATTGGAAGCCAAGGGCACCCAGGTCCAGGGGGGTGTGGCTTCATTAATAAAGTGTTTAGATGCAAACAAGAGCCTTTCCATGGCCCCAGCAATGCTACTTACTTATACAAGAGTAATTCTTTAAGACATTACATTCCTTGAGCACATGGTCTCTGATCTACTGAGCTCCGTATTCTCCTCCTTCTCATACCACCTCATGCAATGCCTGGCACGCTATAGGCACTTAATAAGGGCTAGGTGGATGGGTGGCTAGGTGCATGTGTAGGCAGAAGCATGGATGAATACATGGAGGGGTAGCTGGATGGAATTTTTAAACAAGCTAAGAGGAGCTGTGAGTTCAGTGCATTGAAAGGGAAATTCTAATATCATTCAGGTGACAATCAGATTGCCATCTGCTATTTGTAGACAAACATTCAGAAGATTGGCAGCATTTTAATTAAATCAAATGGCCATTGAGATGCACTGTAACAACAGCCTGGGCTACTGTTCAAGAGGTTCTATTGGAATATTGATGCTTAGCCCAGAGCGCAAAAGATCCCTCTAAACCTTTGATTAGCTTCAATCGGAGATTCAATAGACATCTAAGGATGACCAAGACCTTGACATTTATTCTACCATCCTGCCTCTATCAACAGGTTTATGAAAGTGACCCCGTATGGCTAGAT